CAACATGAATTGGTAAATCATCTGATGCAGAACGCCCGTGCAACACTTTTTGATTGTCATTGCTAACTTCACCACCAATGGGTGCAGGATTACCATTTTCTACTTGCTGACTGGTTCGTTTAGATGATGTGTGCATTGGCACAGGAGTTAAAAGTCTTCGATCTGTATCCAAGAATCCAGGAGCTATTTTTCTGGCTTCTTCTTTTTGCTTGCGAATGCGTGCATCCTGAAGAGCTTGTAACTTCTGGGCTCGTATTTGTATCAAAGCGGCATTTTCCTGTCTAAATCGTTCTGAATCAGCGATAATATGACGTTCAAGATTAAAGTCATACTTATTCTGAATGGTTAAATAGAATTAATATTAAAAAGTAAAAAAAAAATGATAGAATTGACATTTGTTAAAAGTTTATAGAGTCGTTGAATGCTTACCACAGGAGGTAGATCAAGTGTAAAATCATGAGGCATTGTTACCTGTAAAAATTTAGATCGTGTTAAAATTTAAGTCAGCGACGTCTAATAAAAAAGTTTAGGATTACCGATTGTAATGCGGAGTACTGTGGTGCCAAAATAAGTGGTACATTTTCCAGAGCAGAATAAATTGACGAAATCGTGTTTTGATGTTCCATGTGTTGTAGTCGAGTTCTTAACGATCAATCGATATTGTAAAATCTACTTAACTGAACCGGCTTAGTAATAAAATCACATGATAGATTGATCAAGGACATGCATGTGCATCAACCAATTAAATTCAACATGTTTTTTACTTATAATTGTGCATATACTGTACGTACGCACGTATGAACAATGGATGACTTTGTAATGACAATTGAGGACGACGTAGAGATTAATGCATATAACGAAGAAGAGAACGAGGAAAACGAGGAAACTGATAGTAGCCTACTGCACAAAAAGAATAAGAATTCAAAAAGACAAAAAAAAATTGATAATAAAAAAGTTTTGAATGGAGATACCTCATTAAAAGAAAATGATATAAATCCTGATTTCTCGTTTTATGTGGGCGACGACAATTTTTACAATGATGATGAAGGCTGGGATTTTGTGGCAGCTAAGGCTGGATTAAAACCCAAACTTACTGTGAGGATTTTTTGAATTTTGTTGAACCTGATAGAATCGATTAGATTTAATATTTACTGTATAACAATTAAAAAAGACTCCTTCAAAGACGATTGACGAAATAATTACAAACAAGCGTAATGAAGTAAAATCATTACTAAACTCAAATCTAAAAACGAATGGACAAAGTAATTCCAAAAAAGGTATATTTTTATAGTTCTGAATATATTTTTTTATAAGGTGTTAAATTTAATAAACTTATGGTTCACTAGAAATTGATAATGATAAATCTCCGAAAATATTCAATAAAGGCAATGACAATAATACTTCTTCGGAAAATGATGATGAAATTAAGCCTGTGGATGATGATGATGATGATATTGGTATTTTATTTATAATCTAAAATTTCATGTTAATTTTCTCGCACTTTTGTTAATCGTCATTTAGATGTTGATAGCTTTGGTGCCGGCATCCAATGTGATATTTATGATGACGAAGATGAAAGCGATGAAGATGATGACGATCAAGGGGCAAGTAGTACAGAGGAATACTTGAACAGCAACAAAGATCGTGAGAATGATTCCAATAGTGAAAGTAGTAGTGAAGATGAATATGAAAAACAGGTTTATTAATACTCTTAGATGTATATTAGTAGAATTATACAAAAATAGTGTTATATACTATATAAATTAATATAATATATTATACTAATTTTGGTTTGGCATTGCATAAATTTCATAAATATTTAATTCTATATTTTTCATGTTCATATTTTCATTAGAGAAAGAAAGAATATTTTGCGGACGAGTCTGAGAAGATTAATTACAACATCGCAGAATCATTTCAGACAATGAATCTTTCTCGACCTATTCTTAAAGGTCTTAGTCAATTAGGATTTCTACAGCCTACCCCAATTCAAAAACAAACAATTCCCATAGCTCTTATGGGTAGGGACATTTGTGGTGGTGCTATTACCGGTTCCGGAAAAACTGCTGCATTTTTAGTTCCTGTAA